TTATGATAGAAACGAGCGAGTTATGTAGAAGACGTCTTATCATTGCTTGTTCGTCTGCCATCTTGGATTCGAGACATACACATTTTTCGCGGGAAATAAATTGTGTCCAAAAACGGGTCACTGAGTGCCATGCCAAACTGCATGTTACCTTGTCAAAACACCAAAATGAAATAAACACCATCAAAGTAGAAGAACACAATAACAAAAGTGTAGGTCGTAATGTTCCAATGGCAAAATGTCACAAAGCAATAACAAAAGAGCAGTTTTCCATAGCAAGATCTCAAAACGAAATGACAGAAGTGCAGTTTGTAATGTTCCAATAGCAAAATGCCAGAATGCAAGAACAAAATAACAAAATGCAATAACAAAACAGCAGGATTCATTAGCCAAAAAACAAAACACATCAGGAAAGAGCAGGTTCCAATAGCAAGATACCAGAACTCGATAACAAAAGAGCAGGTTCCAAAACCAAGATGTCGGAACGCAATGACAAAACTGCAGGTTTCAATAGCATAATACCAAGTATTAATTTTGGCGGTAATCACACTTCATACATTCAGTTAAAATCTAAAGAAGTTCTTTTTCTACTAAATCAAGAGGACACAGACCCTATAGCTCTACCAAACAGATCCCATCTAAATTAATAATCTTATGAACTTCCACGTGAAATAGAGGAAAGTAATACTTCGCATACATAATTTGTATTGTAATTGACATGTATGGAGTAGGTCATACCATATATGTAAATGGCAACAATACCTTCAAAACAAAATAAATTGACTTTATTTTTGTCTAGCTTCATGTGCAGAATGAAAAAATATTGCCTCCAACACGCCATACACATTTCTTGTCAGATGCATCCCTGACGACTTTTTCAACAGTCATAATGTCCCACGTATTCGAGCGCGAAGTTGTGAAGTCAGTGACTAAAAGGTATATATCTTCTTGTTTCTTGGGTGGACTGGGAATTTTTTTATTGCCAGTAATATCAATTAACATGCACATTGAGGGTGAATTTCCCCTGCAGCAAATGTTTTCCTTCCACCATATTGTTGCACCCTCTGTTGTGCAAGCTTGATTGTATAGTGGGGTTAGAATGGTTTAAGGGTAGTCTGTTCTACTCACAATTTCCTCTTTGTCATTACTGTGAATAATAAATTAGGATATACCAAGGGTAAGTGGAATTGACAGGTATTGTTTCCAATGCAATATCCATGTCCTGGGTGGTGTACACAAGTTTGTCCTAAATAAACATCATTAATATCATTTGAATGGAACAGAACAGTCGATCACTCCATAAAGAATTTTTGGGATCATGCTAAAAACTGCCCAGAGTTGAAAAAAAAAAAAAGAAACCAATGCCAATGTAGATGGAGTTTCATTTGATAGTGGTGAGGCGTCGGCTTGGACTTTCTTCGCAGATTTTTCTAAGGGGTTTGATTTAATTGATCATTCAATATTGATGCAAAAACTGGCAGGTCTTGAAGTTCATCCAGTCCTTTTATCTTGGATTGTGGCATTCTTGACATCCCGGAAGCAAGCAGTTAGAATCGGAAGAACTCTGTCAGATTGGTTAACACTAACAGGAGGAGTGCCCAAAGGAACTAAACTGGGTGTGATCCTCTTTACGGTGACAACAAACAAACTGCTGTCTGACTGGCAGCTGCGCATCAAATACATCGATGAAACCACTGCTCTCGAAATAATTCCAAGGAACTCCCCTAGCTTACTTAATGTAGTGGCCTCAGACATTCACAATTTTGCCATTGCTCATAATATGAGACTTAAACCAACCAACTGTAAAGAAATGCATATTAATTTCCTACGCAACTCTAATTGTCTCATTAACCCGATAATCATTGGCGGCAATGTCATCAAGTGTGCCAATACCTATAAGATCTTAGGATTTATTATGGACAATGACCTGAAGTGGAACTGTCATGTTGCTTACATTATTAAGAAAGCTTGTAAGAAGTTATACTCCCATAGAGTTCTCTGCAGAGCCAGGGTGAGCCAACCCAACATCTTGAGGATATACTTTAGCACAGTCCGGTAAGTTTTAGAGTATGCTGTACCAGTCTGGCAGGACATCCCTGCTTACCTGTCCAAAGCCATAGAGCGAGTGCAAAAAAGGGCGCTTAACATAATCTACCCTGAGGCAGAGTCATATGCTCATGCCTTACAGTTAGGTAAACTAGATAGGTTAGATGATAGAAGAGTACTCTTGTGCTACAAATATATGGCGAAAATGAAGTCCCCCAGCCACCCTCTGCACCACCTACTTCCCAGCCCACTTCTGGACGCGCCTAACTACACCTTAAGGCAGAAAACACAAAAGTATTATCTTTTCCGGAACATGCAGGTTTGTAGGACCAAGAGAGTGGAGGACATCTTTACATTTAAATTTTTTACGTGATTCAATTGTTATTTTCATTGTTCTACCTGTAAATTACTATACTCTAGATAATAGTTGCCTTAAGATTGTAAAATGTACTCGATAATTCAGTTCTTTTTACTGCAAGAGAGTTTAAATAAACTATTCATATAACTATTCAGATTTAAAATGAAAATAAATTTCTAAAATGAAATGCTTGCCAAGGTTAATCTATGATTTCAAACCCTTTGTTTTATTTAACAAAATATCATATGGATGACTTACATGTTCCACAACAACCACGTTTCATTGTTAATTCCTGGAGCTATCAGCTCATTTCAGAAAAAATGCAACAGCCTTTTTACTGTCCATCACATTTGTCATTTGGAGTGGACTGAAGGTGGTGCTAGACTAGGCTAGAGGTGAAGACTAGGTGAAGACTTTTCTGGTAAGAACAACTACCAGGCTACCATTAACCACTCCAGAAAATAACAAAACATACGATAATGTTAATGCCCTTTGTTTGTCACCGCAAAATTTTGCATAAGTATTGCTTTCAGTTTCTCTTGGGGCCATTTTGACTCCCACGAGAAACTGAAGACATTACTAAATGCAAGATTTTGGGGTGACAAACAAAGAGCATTATGGTATTTTATGTTATTTTCTGGAGTGGTCAATCGGACGATTTCAATCTTCAAATTAAAACTGGAGTGTTGGTTTGCAGGAACATGCAGGATTCAGTCTTATCAAAACAACTGACATTATAAGAGGGAAAGAGGAGGAGTGCAGCTTGTTTGACTTTTCATGCCCGATTGTAGTTTTGATATTTTTTTTGAGAGGAAAACTGGAAAAGGTCATGTAAATAGTCAAGGAATCTTAAAAGGAAAAAAGAGTGCTTTAGAAAATTCACTGTTGCTGAGTTTAAAGGTTTTGATATGCTTTTGATAATGAAAACGGGAGCAACTGCAACTCCTGTATATCTGACTGTCTCAGGATTTACAAACTTAGATGATTGAGATTGTGGCTACATGCACCTCCAGTAGGTGTAATGCATCAAAGGTTTCTCATTCACCATTTACCTGCCCCCAAATGTTTGGCAAGGAACCGTATCATGTTTGCACCGAATAAGAACATGTTTTCCTGTGAAGTGTCCACACTTAGATACTACTATTTATTGTTACTGTTTGCACAGATGAAAGTTGCATTGGTGTGGTGTGTTCCAATGAAAGAAATGTGGGAAAAAGCCTTGCCTTGCAAATTCTCGCTAAAGGACAAGGGAAAGACAGACGATCACATCCCTTGCTGTGTTCTGGAGGGGGTCAGAATGTCAGCGGTACATTTTTGAAAGTTTTTTTATAGGTTTTGATAAAATAATGCACTAAAATACTATTAGAGATATGGGTTATTTGGAAAATAGCATACAAAGTACTTTGTTTTAAAATGGAGTTTAAGTGAAAAGAGCTGTTAGAGTCACTGAAGTCCTACTGTAGTTAATTACACAAGGAAAGTATGCAAGATGGTCTAGAATATTATTTATCATTTGTCTTAATCACTATGTAACTAATGCTATTGCAACCATCCTGAAGCCTAGGCTTGAACTTGTTATCAGGGTGACCTTTCACCAAAGAGGCATAGGGATGGAATAAAATCTTATTTTACCTGACATAAATGTTCACAAGAAAATACTTGAAACATATGCATAAAAATATTAATACTTGCATCATTTTATTTTCAGAAAGGTGATAATGCATGCTATGCAGAGCACCACTCTGACATGTTGCCTTGACGACCCTGTACTCACAAACTCACTGGCAGAATTTTTTCTCCAAATTCAAAGTGGGTTACCGCAAAGCTCAATGAAAAGCAGCCTGAGCAGCCCTAAGGGCAGCATAATCATGTCAACAAACTCTGCTGAATGTGCAAGGTGATTTTAGTATTATTTTGTAATGGTGTGTTTTGTTCATGCAGTAAGGTATGTTGTGCTATGCCAGTTCATGCTATGTTGTGCTACAACCAAACAAAAATACTTTGTACACTGTAACTGTTAAGGATTAAAATAGGTTTCCTAGGACATAGCACAATTCATGTCCCCTCCCCTGTTATCACAGTTTTGAGGATTCCAAGATTGCATTCCACAAAATTTTGCTGACACTCGGCCAGCTAACCTTTTCCAAAAATTGTGCATCTGATGTGCAAGTTTCAAACTAATAGGATGCCGTGAACGCCAATGAGCCACTTTTATGTCACGAGTGTGGGAGAGATCAAGTTGTTTCAGGCCTCCACAACTGTAAATGCTTCTCTAACATGAAAAATTGTTCGATATAAACAATCTTGTGCCAACATAGTAATTGAAGGAAGATTTTCACTGACCATGTCGCATTACTTGGACACAATTTTTGTAATCAAAAGTTGATAACATTCACACTCATCCATGCCTTGAACGAGATTTTTGGCATCATTTTCCTCATTAGTTATGAACTTGTCTCCTATTACTATTTCTAGAATTCATGGCAGAATCATAAGATTTGACTACGTAAAGGACGCACAATTTCACAAAGAGGACGAGTCCATCTTGCAGCAAGGTCTGAAGGACCTAAAATTTTAGTCCTGGTTTAATAACTTTTTTATTATTGGAGAAAACAAGAGCTCAAAACAAGAGATGGGCAGGATTTAATAACAGCTTCGACTTTCATGACTGCAGTCACGAACACCTGGAGTTTTCAGTGCCGGGAAACTAAACAGTATAAATGACTTTCATTCAAGAAAATGCCTATTTAATTCTTTTACATGGTTTTTCTTTGGTTGAAGACTTCAATAATTTCAGACTGGCGGCTCGGCTGCACCTCATGCAAACACTAAACTTCCAGCTGCTAAATACATGGCATGAAAAGTTTGACTTCTAAAAGCCATCGAATCAGCTTTCGCTCTCTGATTCTGAGAATGAAAAAAATTAACAGAGTTGTCAACTTGCTGCTAACCTCAACAGCATAATTAAGCTTATGTTTCATGGCAATCAACTTAGAAGAGTTTCGTTTCAAAACACAGTAAGTCAAGAAGAGTAAATAAAACTACAAAGAGATAGTGTGTTTTCGTTTTCCAAATGAAGCTCGAATCGGCTTTAACACATGAAGACTGAGAAACTGAAGAACTGAAAATTAGCACTACAATACACAAGCTTGCAATGATAACTTTTTATGTCTCAGTTTCAGCCAGGTTAAGTGAAAAATAACAGTCAAAAACTTTGTTTTGCTGAATGAAAATCAGTTTACCTGATGCTCTAGCCAAAATTACACACTGAGTTATTATCATCTTACCTTTTCTGAATCTATACGACTAATTGTTTCAGTGATTTGTGCCTAGTTATCCATAAAAGTAATTTCAATAACTACAAAATAGCCAAAGACACGAGCAGCATGAAGCAGAAAAACTGAACCACAAGCTGCACACAGCATGAAGGCGAGAGCGCGGGGGAGACTTTGATCTGACTGGAAAGTGTGACTGAAAAAGAGACCGGAAATGCTCAACCTGGCGCATGCGTAGACGTTTTGCCGCAGTGTTCTGCAAAGAACACACTTTGATGATACAACTCCAGTTATAGATACACTTCTTCAATCTATTGTCCTCCGTTGACAAGGAAGCTTTCATAGAGGCAAAATGGTTCTCTGGACCTATTTACACTGATACACTTCTAATGGAAGGATGGCTTTTCCGCTGGGCCAAATGGCAGGAATTGCCAATGTCTTTACCGCTCTGCCTGAAAAAATAACATTCCAACCACCATTCAATATCTAAACCACACACAAAGGTACAATCAACATTCCCACTTATCAAGTGTAATTAGGATAACAATCAATGTTTCCAGTTTAAGATACATTTTGCAACCTTTGATGAACCTTAAGAGTGATTTTCTGTAAAATTCGAACTTCGGCCTGACACGGTACCTCATCGATTTGGCTGATTTTCGGCATGTAGTCTTAGAATGGTGTCCTAAATACTGAATGCATATTCTAAGGTTCGAATTCTCTTTGGTTTCAAAGATACAGGAATGACAGTTTGGACAGGGCCTCGAGGGGCCGCCATGTTGGTGAACTGAAGGAGATTTACAGTAATTAATCCTAGCCTTATCATTAAAATTACTTAATCGTGACTCATACAGTTGCAAAGAACTATCCTTCCTCCTTTCATTTACCCACTCTTGTCTGAAAATGGTTAAGCCTGAGCTACGAACGGCTATAACTTCTCACAGCACTTTTTCGGTACTTAAAAGGTACACGAATTTGGTAGAAATTGGAAGGTCAATATCACCCATGCCACATCTAAACATAGTTTGTTTATAGATAAGTTAGATTGTTGAATAAAATAATTGGGCAAATGCAACGGAGCAGAAATATAATTGCATGAATGCGCAATGGTTCAGCCACTTGGTCGTTAAAACTCCCAAACAAAATTCGGTGAATATTTGAAAAGAAAATTCTTTAAAAATTGATCGTGCCTATCTATCGCTTAAAAACCCTCCCTTGTAATGTAAAAAGATGATCTTTTGATTTTGATCTTGCGAAGAGCTTGAAATATGCGCTAAAATGAAAATTATAAATTTTGTTACACACCGTACAAGCTCAAGTTCGCTCTTCGATTTGCCAGACCAATAGGGAGCCGCTCGTGTACTGCACAGTTACAATTTTCTCTGTAGTATTTCGCTGTATACAGCTACAAATTACATATTTTCTTAGGCAAAGATAACGCAAACGTTGTCAAGTTTTATCAAAAGGCTAGAAAAACAAAC